TTTTTTTTTTTTTTTTTTTTTTTTTCTGGGTGTATTTGTCCGAGCTTGAGTTTGAAAGCTTTGTATCTGTTTTGTAAAATGTTGTGTGTTCTGTTAACTGAACTCTTTTCTACCTAAAATTGGATCGTATTTTATCATTTCCATATTTGCAGAATGGTAGCCATTGTTGATTTTGCTTTGACCTGAATGATTTCCATATTTGCAGAATGGTAGCCATTGTTGATTTTGCTTTGACCTGAATGCAAGTTTGCTACACATTAATTTCTGTTACATTATCTCAAAATTAGCAACACGCACGGATCTTCAATTTTTAGTGGCCCAGATTTACTCTGTGTGTGTGTGTGTGTGTGTTTATGTTTGTTCATCAATTGCACTTAAAATTCAATTCTATTAGAATGCATTGTGGTTAATCTAATGAGATGTGATTCTCTGTGAATTGTTGTGTTGGAGCGAGTATGCACTCTGTTGGTGATATATTCACAATGTTAAAGGATACACATTTTCGTCAAGAGCTCGAATATATTATATAGATCATTTGGTAATTAATATGGGACCATTTTATTGGTCTTTCTCATGTACAGTTTATGGTTTTCTGTAAGACTTTTACTATGATATTGATTTGTTTATCATTTGATATTTACTTGCAAATATGAATAACACAACCATTCTGTTGGTATGACAATAAGAAACCCAATATCTTGGTCTCTCTCATGTACAGTTTATGGTTTTTTGTAAAACTTTTGCTATGATATTTGATTTGTTTATCATTTGATATTTACTTGTAAATATGAGTAACACAACAACCATTTTGTTGGTATCTAATAATTTTATAATAATACAGAGTCTACCTTGCATTTGGTTATGAGCCTGAAGGGTGGAAAGAAAGACAGATATGAGCCATATCTCAAGGAGCTGGCCAAAAAATACAGGCAGTACAAGAAAGTTTGCCGCAAGTGAGTTGTTCTCGATTAACTCGTAACCGTATGCGAATTTTAAATTTACACCGTTGAATTCTAGTTGTTTTTCTCCATTCATGTTTCCTCTAATTTACAAACAACTCCTTGAGATTCTTCACAAAATTGTGCCAAAATTGAGGTAATATGTACGTACTATAGTCGATTATAGGTTTTGTTTTCATATAATTGCGAAATTTTCAAGGGTACGTTCTTGGTAGTATGATCTCGCCTTTTGAACTTGTCAGATGCTATGCTCGCCTGGACGTTCGCGCTGTCAATTGTAGGAAGAAAAAATGTGGATACAGCAATCAGGTCATTAACCTCACTACATTTATTCGAACACATAGAATTACTTATAAACAATCTTATATGCGTTTTTCGTTTATTGCAGTTGAGGCCCAAGTCGAGGGAAAGCGAAAATATCGAGTAGTCAGATTATGTGTTGGGGAAAATAAATGATTAGAATTTGAAGTTTTCTAAATTTTCTATTGTTCCGACTCCTTGGCTATTTCGTTACTTTACTAAGTTTAGGGGTTGTTTTCTATGATTACAAGACTTACTATTTGGTTATTGTAATAAAGTTTAGGATTGGTGCTTATGTTTCAAGGCTCCAAGTATGCTATTTTATGGGCATGAATTTGTTTTCTTATCAATCATTGTTCAGATTTCTATGGTTCTAATATGAATCTTATCATTTTAAATAACTGTAGTTGTACTTCTCCTTTTATCTTGTTCAATTACCTTGCTACTCAAGACTTTTGTATAATAATAAGAAATCGAATATGTTACGAGATATCGTGTCCATACGAGCAAAGATTTCCTAAATATTGAGATCTCTTGAAGGATGCTTTACATAAGAAACCCTAGATTCCTATATCGGAATAAATCAAAACTAGTCACGTCGGTTATGGGTTTTCCACTTTGGTCACATTGAAATTGTTTTCTCAAAAACAGTGTCCGAGCTTTTTAAATTCAATTAAAATAGGGACAATTGTTTTCGGAACCGCTTTTTCTGGCTCGGAAATGACACTGTCTTAATAATATCACAGCTGGCCCATTTAACACCCGCGTGGCATTTGACATGGCAAAAGTATCAATATCAGTCTCATAATTATAGAGATGTTACAATAAGGGCAATTTGCATTTATACTGCACGATTTAAAAAATATTATAAAAATACAAGATGCTAGATTTTAATTGCATGGTTACCATTTTCTGTGCTTTTATTTGTTGCTCAAGCAAAAACTTCCATTATGTTTTAACCCACCTTCCTACAATCACGCAACCTTCCTACAATCAAGCAAAAAAAAAAAAAGGGATTAAAAGATAAGGTAAGTGTATTTAACCCAATAATTAGGAATCTGTTCATAACAAATGGAAAAAGAGATATAATTAGGAATATGCTCACCCTCATTCGAACTACGGCGTCGCAGTCCGGTGATGAGGATCGTGTGTTTCGACTGTCGATAAGCCGCTAACCCGTGCCTTGAATCGCCGATAGGTGTTCTTCGAGCCACAACAGCACCTCTTGGAATGAATAAAATTGCAATAGTATTCTGGTGAAAACACTAAAGCAAAGTTGGAAGAACAAAGTTCTAGATTTCTATTAATTTCTTGGATGATG